GTACTGGGTAGAATGGGAACTGGGGATGTTCAAAGGGGCAGGTGGCTGGGAGCGCAGGGGGATCAGTGTTCAGAGGAAGGACTTGTGAGCCTTTGCTATGGAAATGGGTCGTCCTATCAGAAAGAATCTGCTTTCCAATCAGTTGGTTTGAAATATTGAGCATGAACTGGCATATAAGGCATCATAAGAGTGAAGGCCTTGTCCCCCACCTGCTGGCTCTCTGAAGACCTAAGACGCATGGAGGTAACTACAAAATACACATTCTGGCATCCCCTGTACTGCACAACGGCCAGACTCCTAACACTATAGCCCAGCCTTTGACCAAATCCAACCAGCTCTTTCAACCTCATTGCCCTTGGCCCTTATTCATACTTCTTGATGTGGATTCCCCATTGATACAGACTCACCCACCTTCCCCCTGCCTGATGGCCTCTCCCGGCTTCTCCTCCCTACTTAGCTGGGCCTTGGATCCCATGATTCCCCTGACCATGTTCTTAGACACCCTCAACTACCAGGCAGATCCTCACTTTGGGTCCAGCCTCCTCCTCAGTTTGTACGCTCATGTGGCTGAGTGTTTCTGGACTAAATCCTTACAACCACATAGACTAGGGCCAGAGCACACTCATGACCTTCCACCTCAATGGAGCCTTGGCATCATTTAACCCATTTCTCTTCCATCTCCTCTGGGCACCTCTCCATCTGTTTCCTCCAGTGTTGGCACTGCCTCCCCGCCCCCCGCTCTCTACTGCTCCTTTCTCTTAGCCTATAAACATGCTCACGTCTTTTCCATCCTAGAAAGAGAAATGCCCTGTGGCCTAGTCTACAGGGTGATGGTAGGAGGGGGCCGGGGCCAGGAGACAGGCTGAGGAGTGAAAGGACCCACAGCAGGTTTGTTCCCTTCTCCCCTGACAGCCGAGGTCATCGTTTATGCCAGCTCCTTCTTGAAAAATTACCATCAATAAACAGCCAACACGAATACAGTGCTTGTCATGTCCCAGGGGCTTAACATATGCTGTCTTTTCATCTCCACACCTACAAAGTGGCTGCTATTATTACCACATTTTTCCTAAACAGGTGAGAAACAAAAGCACAGAGAGATTAAGAAATATGTGCAAGGTCACACAGCTGATCAGGGCAGAGCCAGGCCCGGGTGCCTGGCTGTAGAGTCTGGACTTTGCCCCTCCTCCCGCGAGACTCTGCCCATGGGTTTCCGGCTGGCCTACCCTAGCCCCCCAAACTGCAGCAGGGATGCCAGGACATGCTTGACACCCCAGCACCCCACCCCCGTTTAGGCTACTGCTGGTGCCTCTGCTCTGTGACAATGCAGAGGTAGCTTAGCTCAGCGGTTCCCAGCAATGCCTTCAATGGGAGCTTATTTTAAAATGCTCGTGCCTGGCCCTGGCTGGGAGGCTCAGTTGGTTGGAGCGTCATCTGGTACACCAAAGGGTTTCAGGTTCAATCCCCAGTCAGGGCACACCTCTCTCTCTCTCTCTCTCTCTCTCTCTCTCTCTCTCTCTCTCTCTCTCTCTCTCCCTCCCTCCCTCCCTAACACAAAATCACACCTGGCTGGACTCCAGACCATTTAAGTCAGAATCTCTAATTTTATGTTTTGAAAGATGACTCTTACGAGCAGCCAGGGTTGAGAACACCTGGACAAGTGTCCCCGGCTCTAGCACTCCAGTGTTCTGTGGTGGGGAGCCACCCAAAGCTGCAGGTGGGTTGGGCCAGTGACTGGAAAGGCCTCTGAAGTCCCACCTGCAGCCCAGGCAGCTCCAATTCCCTGCCTGGGGCGGGGGAGGTCCTCTCCGAGAGGCCCCCTGAGCTTGGAGGTTAGGGAGGTGCTTTCCTTGGGCCCTGGGTATTGTCTAGAGAAGCCACGTACGGCTTTGGGGCACAGAAGGCTGGACACCTGGGCCCAGGTTCCCTGTGCAGAGGGTGGATTCCTTCCACCCATATCTGGCCCCCAGACAATTCCAGGGTACAAAGTGAGAAGGCCTGATCTGAGCCCTGGGGGGTAGGGGGGTCGTGGCCTCTTTCTAGATGTCCTGTGTCTGTCCCAGGTGAATAATTTTGTATGTAATCCAACATGGAACTTGGAGTCAGGACTTAGGAAATTCCACCCATAGCCTGCCTGTCATATGGGAGCACTCAGGCCACTTCATAACCTGGCAGGCACCGGCCCCAGCAGCCCGGGCTGTGTTCTGAATTACGGATGGCAGGTTGAGAGAAGGACTGCAGAAACCCCGAGGCCCGCAGGGACCAGAGCAGCCTGCAGGACTGCCCCTGCCGGGTCACTTGCAGGAAGAGAGCCGGGACCGTGTGCTGGATGGAAGAAACACACCCGCGTTCAGGGGAGGAGACGTTGGCAGGGCCACCTGTCACAGAGGTGATGCCGGAGCTGTCTCTTTGTTGCAGACAGTGACGAACACCTTCCGTGCGGCCAACGTCCAGATCCAGAGCCAGGACCAGAGGCTGCTGACACTGTGGCTGGACAAGGACCATCGGCGCACTTTCAGGGATGTGGTCAGGTGAGGCTGGGCCGCCACCTCTTGGGCTGCGTGCCCCATTGGGCAAACCTAGCAGAAGCCAACCCCTCCCATCCCCCGCCTCCAGCCTTGCCAGAGGCAGATCCTGAGGCCGGGCAGGTGTTCCTGGTGGGTGTGAACTTGGGCCACTGCCCTGTGACTTGAATCCTGGAAGAAGGGCAAATGCACGGCTGACCCCGAGTAGCCGAGATTGCCATGAACCTGCAGCTGCAGCCCTCCTAATCCAATGCCCGGTACTGGCACTGCCCCCTGCAACACAAGCTGCCCTACGGTGGCAGCTGTGCCCAGTTCCTGTGACCCTTGTTGGGTAAGGGCGGCAGACACAGTGACCCATCCAGCCATGTTCTCCTCTCCCAGTGTTCGCCCTCGGCTAGGGGGCTCTTTCTTCTCCTGATGCTTCCTCCTCCCTCTATGGGGCCCCCTCCTCTATACCCTTTAGCCCCTGAGATTTGAACCCTGAGATGGGTCTCCTGAGCTGGTCTCTCTCCACTCACAGAATCGAGGTTGTCCCCTGCCCAGAGCCATGTTCCGGGGTCCAGAAGTCCAAGGCACTATGGCTCAGTTCACACCACCAGAAGGAGGTGGAAGGGACCAAAGCCAAGCCCAAGCCCCTTCTCATGCCCATCAACACGTTCTCCGGCATCGTCCAGTGAGCCTGAAGGGGTAGTGGACGCGCTGAGTCCAAGAGCTGCTGGCCCGCGAGGAAGGACACACTACCCACCAGTCCAAATACTCACACCGATGGCCGGAGCAAGGCCAGGCTGCCCTGGACTGGCCCCAGTGAGGAGCCAGCAAGTGTCTGGAACACAAGGAGGCTGGCCGTGAGGTTGACGGAGGCCACGCGAAGGCCCCAGGATGCCCGGGCAAAGCTGAGCACACACACAAGCCCAGCTCCTGGCACAGCTGTCCGCTCCTTCCAATTCCCACCTCTCCCACTCATGCTCCCCCCAGCCCTTAAGACCACAGTGACAGCTGCTGTTCTGGTCAGGGCCCGCGTCCTGGGGGGAAATGGGAAGTAGACAAAGGCAACTACACCTCCTCTGCCTCCCATGTCTGCTCCCTTCCCTCACTCGAGCCTCTGCCCACCTCACCCACCCCTGGGCGTCTCTCTCGATTGAGAGGAAAGTGTCAGATTCAATAAATGCACACTAAAGTGTTTCTGCTTTTATCTAACACCGGCAATATTTCTATTTTAATGGGGACTGGGGGCAGGACTACCCTGTGAATCCACTTGGGCCAGGTAGTGTCTGCCTGACCACACGTTGATGTAGGGACTCCCAAAACAGAGGAGGGAGTGCAGGCTAGTTTCAGAGAAACCAGAGAGTAGAGACAGTAAAATGCTTGGCTCTTGAGTTCGAAAACTCACACCCAAGTTAAAATAGGGAAGATCAGTGGCCCAGAACCAGTTCCCTCGCCCCCAGGACTAGCTGTGGGTGGGAGAGAAAGGAATAGAGAACATAAAGGCTAGGCTTGAGTCCATCCCGTCAGCTTGCAATGAAAGCAAGCTGTACACCAAATCCTGCCACGCATACACCCCCACCCAACTCCCTCCCACCCCAACCAAATCCGGCGCTGTGAGCAAACCTGTCTCTGGATGTGGCTGGTTAAGTAAATGTTGGCTAACGTCCGAGTTGGACGTCCTAGGTGTAGATTAAAACTAACCCCTTCTGGGTCTAGATGGACCCCGGATGGGGTGTGGAGTGCCACTCCAAGACAGCCCTCAGCTGCCAGCCCTCTGGGGGTGGTCCCAACTGAAGAGGATGGTGTCACCCAGCCATGCCCCTTCCAGGGGGCACCCACGTCCCATGAAGGAGCTCTGAGCCCTTGGGACAAAAATAGCTGCCTTCTGGGGCTCTGATTGGAGGGAGGCGGGTGATGAACAAGATAACAAGTGACAAAGAGATCGTGTGCGGGACAGTAGCTGCTGGGGAGAAAACTAAAGCGGGGCGCGAGGGTGGAGTCTGGGAGGGGGTGGGCTGGTATTTCAGTGAGGGTGGCCTCGGGCGGGCGGCCCCTGACAGTAACCGGGTGGTCCTGGCCTTTTAGTAAATCCTGAAGATGAGGAAGGAATTCGACTTCTATACTCACTCTCCGCTCCCCAATAGTTTCACTCACCTGAAGCAGTTCAGGGGTCAAACTCAGTTCAGCGGGGGTCGCGGGGCTCAGCTTGGAGCGCAGCACCTGTACACAGGGCAGGTGGCAGGTGCGGGGGGAGCCAGCAGAGCCTGGCCCAGGAGGACAGGAACCGGCAGGTGCGGGGGGAGCCAGCAGTGCCTGGCCCAGGGGACAGGACCCGGCAGGTGCGGGGGGAGCCAGCAGTGCCTGGCCCAGGGGACAGGAACCGGCAGGTGCGGGGGGAGCCAGCAGTGTCCGGCCAGGACAGGAGGCGGCAGGTGCAGCTGCAGGTGCGCGCGCCCCGCCCCCAGGTGCACGTCCCTCAGGGCGGGGCCACTTCCGGGTGGGAGGCCGGACACAGGGGCGGGGGCGGCCGTTGACCAGGTGACGGGGCTCAGAGCGAAGCCGGAGGCGGGGTCCGCTCACCTCGGCGCGAGCCTCCCTCGGGTCCCGCCTCCGCCCGCGCAGCTCCCCTCCCTCCGCGGCCTGGGTCCCCGGCGCCGGGCAGCCATGAGCGCCAACCCCCAGTGGGACATCCGCCGGGCGCTGGGAGTGGCCGGGCTCTTCCGCGTGGTGTGCGGGGTCCGGGAGGCCGCCGTGAGCCCGTTCCTGACCCTCTACCTGAGGCAGCTGGGTCTGGCCGCGCCCTGGGTGGGCGTCCTGATGGGGACCAGGCACCTGGTCGCCGCCTTCTGGGCTCCCTTCTGCGCCTGCCTGGCCCGGAGCCACCCGAGGAGGAGGGCGCTGCTGGTCGGGTCGCTGCTGGGCTCGGCCGGAGCCAGCCTGCTGGTGCTGCTGGTGCCGCCGCTGGACGCAGACCTGGGGCCCCGCTCCTGCCACGCCGGCCCCAGCCTGACCCCCGCACTGGCGGTGAACGTCACCCTGACCCAGGAGCGCGGCTCGAGCCTCCCAGCCGAGAGCGGTGCTGAGATCAGCCACGCCTCCAGCTTCAGGAAAGGACTGGTGGAAAGTGCCCAAGAACCTTCCTGGCATCTGCCCAGAAGCTTGGTGGGCTCCGGGGAAGGAGCCCGGACCGCACCCGAAGTCCTCCATCCTGTCGCTGCAGGGAGGGAAGAGGCGCCCTGGGAAGAAGGTGCCTTGAAGGTGGTCAGCACCGCCCTCCCTTCGCTGGCCGGGGGTACAGCGCTGGCGAGTCCAGCCAACGTGTCCGTGACCCAGGGGGACTCGGGGACCCTGGGCCTGTCCCCGGAAGGGTTGCTGCGGAGTTTCCTTCCCTGCTTGGTGTCCTTGGTGTTCTGGGAGCTGCTGGCGGCCCCTCTGGAGCAGGTGGCGGACGACAGCCTGTTTGAGTACCTGGATGTTGTGGACGCCACCGACCGGCACAGAACCCTTTGGGCCTGGAAGCTGCTGGGCACGGCGGCGGGCGTGTGCGGCATCGCGGCCTTGGTGGAGCAGCTGGACTGCTCCCTGAAGGCCAGCGGCCCCCGGGGGGTGGTGTACTTCTACGGCTACGCCCTGGTCAGCGTCCTGGCTCTGCCGGTCAGCACTGTTTTCCCCGTGCCCCTGTGCAGGCGGCGGGAGCCCAGCTGCAAAACCAGCAAAGCGCTGTCTCTGGTGGAGGGCGACCCCCGCCTCCTCCTCCTGGCCATCACTGTCTTTCTGGTCGGAGCCGTCACCAGCACCACCCAGAACTTTCTGTTCTGGCACATGCAGGACCACGGCAGCAGCGAGCTGGTGATGGGCTTCTCCGTGGCCCTGGGCTTGCTGGGGGAGGTTCTCCTCCACCCGTTCAGGGCCACGTTGCTTAGGAAACTGTCCAGGCTGGGAACCCTAGGGCTGGGGCTGGGCTGCCTCTCGGGGCAGCTCCTGTACTACTCGCTCCTCTGGAGCTGGTGGTCCGTCCTCCCTGCGCAGGTCTTGAGTGCCGTCAGCCACGGGGCTCTGTGGTGGGCGGTGGGCGCCTCCCTAGAGGACCTGGCCACCCCCGGAATGGAGAGACCTCTGAGTGCCATGTTCCGGGGCCACTTTTATGGGGGCGGGGCCAGCCTGGGCAGCTTCGTGGGCGGCTTCGTGGCGAGGCACTTCAGCCTGGCGGTGCTCTACCAGGCCGGCTGCGTCGTCCTGGGGCTCTGGCTGGCCCTCTTCCTGTCCGTCCGGCCCAGGCTGCCCCAGGAGCCGCGAGTCAGCTACTCGAAGCTGCTGGTCGTGGAGGCAAGTGACACGAGCGACTCGGAGCAGGGGACCGAACGGGACTGTCTTGTGAAGGCCAGTCTGGGAAGGAGCCACAGGACTGGACAGAACTCGGCCTGCTGAGGACAGAGTCCCCGAGTCCTGCCCGGGGCTCCACGGCCTCGGGGGAGAGAGGGCACGTCGATGCGGAAGCCCCACAGGTTCCTCTCCTTGTCGGATTGCAGCTCAATTTTGTAAAAAGTCATGGAGGAAAGAAAACATTTGCTAAAAAAACAAAGTTCCCTCTGTGGTCACTGCCTTTTGGTCTATGAGGTTTGCCAGAGCTTTACTAGCACGGATCCGGTGCTGCTGAATCCAGCCATGGCGGGAGCGCTTGGGTCAAACGTGCTGCGCCAGGGTGACCATGGGGCCTGCAGAATTCCAGCAGCAGAGGGAGCAGCTGGCGTTGATGAGTGCTGTGCATTCCTGTGGGTCCTAACGGGCCTGCGCCTGATCCTATTAAAGCCACGCCTGGGCAGGTAAGAGTTGTCACGAAAATTAGAACTTCCCCCCCCCCCCCCGATACACAGGTGCCCACACTCAGACCCAGGTACTTAAGTTTCCAATAAGAGAAGATGATGGAGATGTAATATGTCCAGGGGAGAGGGGGTGGGAGTTCATGAGTTTTCATTCTTACTCTCAAATGTGTCACCGGGAATAGAATCCTTAGGACTGCCTTCCATTCTTATGTCAGAGCAAAGGCAATGTCATGTCCTTTGGACTCGCATTGTACACACTCCCCTCACCTTTGCTTTGATTAGTGTGCGGCGGCCTCTGCAGGATTCAGGTGCCACGGGTAGTCCACACGGCACCTGTGCCTAATCACTTGGTTGGGCGCTTTTGCAAACCCTCCCCACATCCCAGAAAACGGTTTTTTATTCCAGGGACCAGCCCCCAGAGCCCAAGCCTTCTATCTTATAATCAGGTGGGTGTAGGATATTGGGTTTAGAAGGGGCCTCAAATGCAGAAAATGTCTCATAGCTGGGGAAAGGAACACACCCAGAATGTCCAATGGTTTAGTCATGGTTCTAGCAACTTTGTTCTTTTTAAAGTTCCTAAGGGTTCAAATAACCAACAAAAAATAACCTCTACCTTCAATACTAGTAATTAGGGATTCATTTGTCTTACAGAAGAAGTCTAGGGGTAGGCAGTCCAGAGCTAGTATAGCTGCTTCGCGATGCCACTGGGGACCCAAATCTTTTCATCTCTGCTTCATCATCCTCAGCTTATAGGCCTCTCTCCCATATTGTTCACTCATTACACGGTGGCTCTGCAACTGCAGGCCTCTCACCCATGCTCCAGGGAGCGAGAGGACTGAATGCCTAGGTCAGGAAAACAAGAAACTTCCCTGAAATTCATAGCCTCCGTCTGCTCACGTGGCCACCCTGAACTGCAAAGGCATCTGGGAGGTGGAGTGTTTTCCAGTGGGCACATTTACACCCCAAGCAAAATCAGGGTCCTGTGAGAGAGACGAGGGGCTGGCACTGCCTAGCCCAGCGCCAGAAGCGGAGCTCACATTCAGGCCTGTCTCGTTCCAAAGCCTGCGTTCTTTCTGCACAGCAAGCCTGCTTCCCACAGAAATGCCCTTAGCAACTAGACCTCCCACCGCAACCCTAGGAATAGCGCAAATTTGTTCGCTGCATTTTACAAACAAGAAAATGGAGTCTTGGAAAAGTCACACAGTGGGTCGCGGGCAAAAACACCACCAGAGCCCTGATCTCCTTTACCCCAAATTTAGTGCGTTCTCTGCTGCGCCAGCAGGTCCACGCCTGCCTGGCCACCCAAGTCACCTGAGGAGCGTATCCAAAAAGACAGGTTCCTGGGCGCCATCGGAATCTCTCAGGTGGGGCCCAGAATCCCCCAGCCATGCAAACACCAAGCGAGTCTGTGGCTAACCACGCCCTGCGCGTCTCCCACTCCTTTGCTGAATGCTTCTCAGCCCGAAGTGAAAGAAAGGTAGCTACTGAGTGCTACTCTATGTAGACACTGTTCTAAACACTTCCCAGGTGTCGCTCCTTTAGTCCTAAAGCACCTTAGCTGGAAGCCATTATCACCATATCCAATTTCCAGATGACAAAGCTGACCGCTAAGTAACTGGCTCGAGGACACAGAGCTGGTAGGTGGCAGGGCGGGGCTTCTGAGCCGGCCTGGGGCCGAAGCCTGAAACTGCCATCTCTGCTCTGTGGCCAAGAAATGGGACAAAAGATGGAACATGAAATATTAAGGTTTAAGGTGGCTATCACTTGAAATCTGCTGGGTAGAGATAGCATTCACCCTGTAGACAGAACATACAGTAATACCAAAATGCAAGCACATGTGTGTTCCTAACATAAGCAAGAGGGTGCGGAACAAGCGCTGGCTTAAGAAAAGAGCTGAGAATGTGAGTGTGGTTCCACAGGAAGGAAAGGAAGAGGAGGAGAAGGGAGCACGAGGTGGAGGAGGAGGAGGAGCTGAAAGGAACCTGAGTGATATCATGGCTTAAGGATCTAAACGTGCTGAGAAATTTGTGTTTCTGGCTATTTATTATTTGACTAGCCTCTATTTGTAAAGAATTATGCTACTTGTCATGGAAAATACAAGAATGAATAAAACACATAACCTCCTACCCTCCAGATTTTCTAGGAGATTTACTTCTTTTTTAAAAAAATATATTTTTATTGATTTCAGAGAAAGAAAGAGATAGAAACATCAGTGATGAGAGAGAATCATTGATGGGCTGCCTCCTGCACACCCCCTCCTGGGGATCGAGTCCGAAGCCCTAGCACCCCTGAGCTGGAATCGAACCGTGACCTCCTGGTTCATAGGTCAATGCTCAACCACTGAGCCACACCGGCCGGGTGGGAGATTTACTTCTATACGTACACACATACAAAGGAAGCACAAGACACTGAAAAATGCCACACACACACACACACACACAAAGCAGTACAGGAGTTTAGGGAAAAGACAGATCATTTCTGACTCAAGAAGTGAAGGAAGATTTTGTGGCATTACATTTCAGCTAAGCTTCAAGGACAGGAAAGCTAATCGGTAGAGAGAGGGTGGTAACTCGGGGAAGGGCATTCCAGGCAGAGGGCAGAGCGTGAGCAGTGTTACAAAGGTGGCAAATACGGGGTCTTCTTGGAGAATAGCAAGAAATATCAAGACTGGAAAAATGGCTTAGGACCAGATCAAGGAAGGTTTTGATTCGGTAGACTTTAGGTAAACCATGGAAGGTTCTGGACAGGGTCATGATAGATGAGGACCGTGCTGAGCTTTCATTAAAAAAAAAAAAAAAAAAGCACTAGCTTTATTGATGTATTAATTGACATGTAATAAACTGCACACATTTAAATTGTACAATTTGATAAGTTTTTAATATATATACACCTCCGAAATCAACACCACGATCAACATAGTGAACATATAGACCCCCCCCCCCAAATTTCCTCCTGCCCCTTCGCAATCCCTCCTTTCTCCCTCACTCTACCTGGTCTTAGGCAGCACTGCTTTCTAAGGTCTACTTTCTGTCACTATGCAGGGGTGGGCACAAGTAGATTTACAGTTGTGATCATCAGAGCCTGCACGTCTTTTTCCATATGAACAACTGTAAACCTCCTTTTGCCGACGGTGTCCGCATTTTTAGAGACTATCATATGTACTCCTCTATGTCCGACCTCTTTCACTCGGCATAATTGCAGTGACTTCTGACACCGACTACCCGGAGTTAGGCCATACTCTACAGGTTAAGGGCACACAACTGCCCTCAATTCAGACACTCTCACTTCTGACTGACTGGCTACAGATTTGAAGGGGCCCACTCCCCACTCAGGTTCAATAATTCATTAGAACCATTCACATGGTTCAGGAACGCTCTATACGTAGGATTATGATTTCATGATAACCAAAGGACACAAATCAGAAGCGGCTGAAAGAAGAGGTGCAGAGGGGGCGCGGTCTGGGAGGTCCCAAGTGTGAGGTGTCCCGTCCTCTCCCTGTGGAGTCAGGATGCATCCTGCGGTCAGCACACTGATGCACCAATGGATGAAGTATTACCAACAGGGAGCCTCACCAAGCTTTGGAGTCCGTGGCTTTTAGTGAGGCTTCATTATATAAGCCTGATTCGTTGAATCATTGGCCTGTGACTCAATTTCCAGTCCCTTTCTCCTCCCCAGAAATCAGACTGCCAGGATATTATGTGGCTCAAAGTCTCAAATTTCTAACATGTGATTGATCTTTCTTGCATGGACAATCTGTATTCAGAGTCACCTCATTCGCACAAACACAGGTGTGGTCTGAGAGGCCCATCGTGAATAACCAAAATCATGTACACAAACAGAACAAAACAGGACGAACAGGACAAACTAAAAGTCACAGGAGAAGTTCAAACAGTGAGTTCTTCATGAAGTCTGGGGCAGGTACGCTGGCTGAGGGCTGGGTGCTCAGAGACACCCTAAGGAGATGATGAAGGGTAGGCTTGCGCATTGAAGAAAGAACTGGGACTTGCATGCTTCGACTTCGAGCTGTGACTTTTACTCTGTTGACTAGCCAGCGGGTCGGTTAAACTTCATAAAATCAAAACTAAATTAATGTTTAGCTCCCAGCCTCATGGCTGTCAGAAATGTCAAGTTCTAACATATGTTGGTTCCAGCTAAAAGGAAAGCAAATATTGAATGAGCTATTAACTTTTATTCTCAGGTTTACTTAAACTATTCTTTCCCAAATGACTTTTGTACAACACTTAATCCTAGTGGGGTGGGGTGGGGCGGGGGCAATTAAAAAAAAATCCTGGCCTGGCCACAGTGGCTCAGTAGTTGAGTGTCAGCCTATGAACCAGGAGGTCACAGTTCGGTTCCCAGTCAGGGCATATGTCCGGGTTGCAGGCTCAATCCCAGATCATGCAGGAGGCAGCCAATCAACAATTCTCTCTCATCACTGACATTTCTATCTTTCTCTCCCTCTCCTTTCCTCTCTGAAATCAATAAAGATATATTTGTTTGAAAAAGGATTCTGTGGCCGGGGAGAGGTCAATGGGGAAAAAGGAGACATATGTAATACTTTAAACAATAAAGAATTTAAAAAAATAAAAGGATTCTGTCGCTAACCGGTTTGGAAAATGACGTAAATTATTGTCACTTCTGAGAAAATTACAATAAACATTGGCAATTAAAGACTTGTAAAAGCCCTGTAGTCAATAAACTTGTTAGCTCTGTTGGACCTGTAATTCCCCTTTTATATCCAGTACCACAACCTTC